CCCTTGTGGCCGGTTTCACCCCCCTGGTCAGTGCTTTGCTCAGCTCACTGACACGGTTCGTTTGGTCTACGGGGTTGGTGCTCCTGCCCCTGACTGGCTGCCTCTTGTTCAGCGCTACGGCTCCGCTCTGTGGGGCATGTCTGCTGAGCAGTTAGTTGATCTGATTGGTACTCCCCATGCTATGTATGCTGTTGTTGACTCTAGTGTTTCTGACTCTGCTTACTCTGGTGTTGTTAGCTTAGGTGCTAGCCTTGCTCAGTTGCCTGTTGCTAGTGTAGGTTCTTGTGTAGACTCTAGTCCAGCGGCTACCTCAGAGGACGGTTCGCTGTCGTTCACGCTGGACTCTGGAGCCTCTCACTGCTTCTTTCGTGACAGCACGACACTTACGCCTCTTCCTGCGCCTGTTTCTGTGGCGCTGGCTGATCCCACTTCGGGACCAGTCACCGCGCGTCACACTACCACCTTGCCGTGTCCGGCTGCTCCTTCTGGGTCTCTCACTGGGTTTCACGTCCCCTCGTTCTCCCGGAACTTGGTGGGCGTGCGACCCCTCGTGAGTCAGCACGTGGGTGTGTGGTTTGAGCCTTCTGGAGAGACTGCGGTGTGTGTTGACGGGGACTCTTACCAGCCCCTCGCCACTTTTGCTGCTGAGCCGGGCTCCGGTCTCTACACTCTTCACACTGGCCCGCGCGCTCAGCAGCGACTGCAGCAGCAGCAGCAGCCGCAGCAGCAGCAGCAGCCGCAGCCACAGCCGCCCCTCCTGCCCCCGGCCCCTGTTTTGCCCCCCGTTCGAGTCCTCGCGTCTCACCAGGTTGCTCCGTCCCCCCAGGTAGCTGTGTCTTGTCAGGTTCCTCCGTCTAGTCCGGTCGCTGCGTCGTGCTCCTGTCGGTCGCTTGCCCACCCCACCGTTTTGTGGCACCACCGGCTGGGGCACCCTTCTCCTCCTCGTCTTCGCGCTATGTCTCGTCAGCGTCTTGTCTTAGGTCTCCCGCGTGTCTTGCCGTCGCTGCCGCCGTCCCTTGCGCCACCGTGCGGTCCTTGCGTCGAGGGTAGGCTGCGCGCCACCCCTCACTCCTCCTCCCTTCGTCCGGCCACCGAGCCTTTTGAGACGCTGCACTTGGACGTCTGGGGCCCCTCTCCTCGCCCTGGCCCTGAGCGTGAGCGTTTCTTTTTGGTGGTCGTTGACGACTACTCCCGCTACACCACAGTGTTCCCCCTGGCGAGGAAGTCTGAGGTGACTTCTACGCTGATCAGGTGGTTGCTTACCACCCAGGACACTCGTGGTCGTCGTGTCAGCTGTCTCCACTCCGACCGCGGGGGCGAGTTTCGCTCCGGCATTCTCGCTGGATTCTGTCGCGAACAGGGCATTCGTCAGTCCTGGACGCTTCCGGAGTCCCCACAGCAGAATGGGGTTGCTGAGCGTCGCATAGGCCTGGTCATGGAGATTGCCCGCACCTCCTTGACTCACGCCCGTGCCCCCCATTTCCTGTGGCCATACGCGGTCAGGTACGCCGCGCACCAGCTGAACCTCTGGCCACGCGTCTCTCGGCCGGAGGCTTCACCGACCAGTCTTTGGACAGGGTCCCCTGGTGTCGCGTCGAGGTTTCGTGTCTGGGGGTGCTTGGCTCTTGTCCGCGACACCTCCGCGGACAAGCTCTCGCCTCGCGCCGTTCCTTGTGTCTTCCTTGGTTTCCCTGAGGACTCCTCTGACTTCACCTTTTACCACCCTCCCTCTCACCGGTTCTTTGACTCCCGTGACGTCCGTTTCGAGGAGTCCGTTTCGAGGAGTCCACCCCCTACTACGTCAGGTACCCCAGTCGAGGTCTCCCGGTCCCTCCCCCCCCTCTCTTCCTGACCGCCGCTCCCCCGCCTGCTCCCCCGGTACAGCCTCCCCCCCCTGGTCCAGCCCCGTCTGGTGTGTCTCAGGCTAGCCCTCCCCCTTCGGTAGCCCCCCCTGTACAGCCTCCCTCCCCACAGTCTTCCTCGCCGCCTCCTGCAGGTGCTCCCTCTCGGGAGGTTGGTCCTGCGACTGTCCCTGTACAGGTCTCTGGTTCTGGGGGTGCTGGAGTTGGAGCTGAGCCGCGGGTTGCAGAGGACTCTTGTCTTCCGGGGGCTGGTACTGGTCGTGCGGAGTCTGGGGGTGCTGGTGCGGAGTCTGGGGGTGCTGCGTCTGGGGGTGAGGGTGTCCCTTCGGTTTCTGGAGAGCCTGGGTCTGGAGCTGGTGTTAGTGCTGCCTCTGGGGGTGGTGTGCTTGGTGCTTCGGAGGTCGACTCTGGGGCTGCCGCTGCCCCGGACACTACTCCTTCCCCCCACCCCTATCCGACCAGGTTCCAGGCTCGTGTTCGCCGTGCTCGTGAGGAGCAGCTGGAGTTGGAGAGAGAGGAGAGAGAGTTGCAGCGGCTCGAGGAGCAGGAGCGACAGCAGCAGGAGCAGCAGCAGGAGCAGCAGCAGGGGCAGCAGCCGCTGGAGCAGCAGCAGCCGCAGCAGCCGCAGCAGCAGCTGCTGCCGTCTCCTCCTCCTGTCTCGGGTCTTCGGACCCTTGGTCTCCCCTCTCCCTCTCCTTCCTCCTCCCCCTCTCCTCCTGTCTCTGGTCCTCCGCTTCCTCCTCCTGACCCCTCTCCCGCTGTTTTCCCTCGTTCTCAGTCTTCGTTGTCTCCTCCTCCTTCTCAGACTTGGGCCTCTCGTCGCTCCCCTCGTGCTCGTCCCTCGTCTCCTGTTCCCTTCACTGACCTTCGTACAGCCTTCCTTTGTTCTCGTCCACCTCGTCCGTCTCCGTCTGTGCTTCCGTCTCCTCCTGAGTCGGCCCTCACTGTGTCGCTTCCTTCTCCTGTCACTGACTACTACCGCACGTACCGTCCTGTTCTCTCTCGTGTTCTCGCCTCTCTTGTTACCCACCCTCGTGCCTCTGTGTCCTCTGTGTCCGCTCTTACTGCCGCAGTCACTGAGTTTGCCTCTACCCGCCGCCTTGACTTCGCCACCGCTCTTGTGGCTGCTCCTCCTTCCAGTCCTCTGGCCGTCGGGGGTGTGTCTGCCCTTGGCTGTGACGCCCTAGAGGACAGGCAGTTTGAGCTAGAGTTCCTGGCGGCCGCTTCCCCTCATCTCTGTGCCATGCTCCTCGCCCCTGAGGGTGACCCCGACGCCCTTGACATTCCGACTCCTCGCACTTACGCTGAGGCAGTGTCAGGGCCTTGGGCCTCTCAGTGGAGAGCTGCCATGGACGCAGAGATGGCCTCCTACAGATCCACAGGCACCTACGTCGATGAGGTTCCCCCTCCGGGGGCGAACGTAGTCGACGGCATGTGGATCTACAGGGTGAAGCGGCCACCGGGATCTCCTCCGGTCTTCAAGGCGCGCTACGTGGCTAGGGAGTTGACTTCTTTCAGACCTTCGCGCCCACCCCGAAGATGACCACTCTTCGGGTGTTACTACACGTAGCAGCACAGAGAGACTACGAGTTACACTCTCTCGACTTCTCTACTGCTTTCCTTCAGGGCAGTCTTCACGAGGAGGTCTGGTTGCGTCGTCCCTCTGCCTTCACTGGCTCTTTCCCTCCTGGGACCCAGTGGAGGCTGAGGCGACCGGTTTACGGTCTTCGTCAGGCTCCTCGTGAGTGGCACGACACCCTGCGTTCTACCCTGTCTGACCTTGGGTTCCAGCCGTCTTCTGCTGACCCGTCGCTGTTCGTTCGTCGTGGCCGCACACCTTTCTTTGTTCTGGTCTACGTTGACGACCTTGTTTTCGCCACCCCTGACAGGGTTGCTTTGGCACACGTGAAGTCCGAACTGCAGAAGAGACACACCTGCACTGATCTTGGTGAGCTGCGCCACTACCTTGGCCTGCAGATCACCAGGGACAGAGCTGCTCGCACCATTACACTTTCACAGTCGCACATGGTGCAGCAGGTCCTTCAGCGGTTCGGGCTTCAGCACTCCACAGTACAGCGCACACCTCTTGCTGTTGACCACAGACTCACTGGACCCTTTCCTGACGAGCCGTTCGAGCCTAGTGGTCCCTACGCAGAGCTTGTGGGTTGCCTCATGTACCTGATGACTTGTACTCGCCCGGACCTCGCCTTCCCTCTCAGCGTTCTTGCGCGCTTTGTTGCGCCAGGGAGACACCGTCCTGTTCACTGGACAGCAGCTGTGAGGGTGGCGAAGTACCTAGCGACGACGTCAGGCGTGGGGCTAGTTCTTGGAGGGCAGCAGTCTGTCGTACTTACTGGTCACTGTGACTCCTCTTACGCTGACGACGCTGAGACTCACAGGTCTACTCAGGGGTACTGTTTCAGCCTGGGTTCTGGAGCTGTTTCCTGGCGGTCCACGCGCTCCTCTTCGGTCTCGACCTCTACAGCTGAGGCTGAGATCTACGCTGGTGCCATGGCGGCACAGGAGCTGCGTTGGTTGACCTTCTTGCTCACCGACCTTGGTGAGCGGCCGAGCTCTGCACCGACCTTGTTCACTGACAACAAGGCGTCTATTCTCCTTTGTCGAGAGCCACGACTGGAGAGCAGAGTGAAGCACATTCACGTCAGGTACTTTCTTCTGCGAGAGTTGCAGAGGCGTGGACAGGCTCGCTTTGAGTTTGTGGAGTCCGAGGCCAACACTGCAGACATCTTCACCAAGGCGCTTCCGCCTTGTGACCACCAGAGGTGCTGTGTGCAGTTAGGCCTTGTTGACACTGGTTCTCGTGTTGCTTAGACTTGAGTGTACTGTTTACTTTGCTTTCTATATACCTCTGTTACTTCTTGGACTGGCCTTGTGGCCACTGTTGTTTGTGCTCAGACTGTGTGGTGACGTTGTGATCCACCCTGAGCTTCGTTTCTTGGACTGGTCTTGTGACCGTACTCGTTTGGTTCTGCTAGACACCCCTCACTTAGGCTATGGGGGTGTGTCAAATGTTGTAGCCTATAGTGAGGTTTGTCTTAGGGGGTACAAAACTTAGGGTTAGCTATATGTACCCCAACCAACATCAATGCATCACCCATTCTTCATTCTGACACAGACCTACTTGTCATTTTCTCTGTTGACAAAAATGTCGTCAGCCATAGCAACTAGGCCCATGATAAGAGCCCTGTCTACATTGGGCTTGATGTGCACTGAATATGTCTGAGTTGCCAAGAAAATATCCTTGGCCTGGAGCTTACGGTCCACCGTTGCCAAAAGACGGCCGCTGGAGGTGGTGATCTGCAAATGTAGGGAAGGGAAAAGAGAAAACCGCCACCTTAAGATATGCACAGCACATAACTCCGCACCCATGCCCTTGAAAGTCCTCTTATTGATATTGCAAAATCGAGAAGATGGTCAATGCGAGCACGTACGTTAAAGTCATACTGAACGAAATTGCCTTTGAGAATAATGTCAGGTTGATCAGTTGACGTGTTCCCTCTCAGGAAAACCTGAGCGTAAGAAAAAAAAATCCCATGGAGTAGGGAGGAAAACAATATCACTCTGAGGTTAAATACACTGTAACAAGCACAATCACTACTGTAGGTATCTCCCACCTAGGTTGGGCGAAGACCTAGCTCGCACCCGGTATAGTGTGAAGCATTCGTACCAACATCAACACCCCGAATCACCTCCCATGCCTGCCTACCTGCAGACTTCATTAGAGCTATGAAAATGTTTGACAAAGTCACATTGAAACGAAGTTCGCTGGGACTCACGTTGAGAATGGGTGACCAGGACAGCACGACTTTCTTGGCGGTGAGCAGCGCGTTGTCAGGTTCCGGGTCGGCGCCAGCGCAGAGGTACGTGGTGTTGCTGAGGGAGAACACCTTGCAGATCATGGAGCACACCGGCTCGTCTTGCGCGTTGAAAATGGTCTTCCGCTCCTTGATATCCCATGCCCTGCCACATTGGTGATAGTAATCGGAAAACCGAGAGAAAATCAGGTGGAGCTACTCATTACGCGTTTTTCCTGCGAGCTCGGAACGCCGGGTAGGAGAAACTGGAAAGCAAGGTAGTTGCAATTTACATACTTTTCCTCGGTCCTGAAGACCAGTTGACCCTGACCGTCGCAAATCTCGGCCTTCTCACGCAGCGACCACATCTTCTCCTTCAGTACAAGCACCGACTCTTCCGGCAGGCAGTACTGACTTCCCACCACCACGTACGGCTCGTTTGAGTCAGCCATGGCCGGAGATGCTCGCACGACTCGGCTAAACTGCGACTTTCGTATGTCTGAGCTGGATCTCAATTCTGACAGCGTCGATTCAGACAGAACTGATCAAGCGTCGACAAATGTTCTCAAACAATTTCGAATCGATCGCTCTGGCTGGGGATACACGGTACAGAACTGGGCTCGTACTGAAGGCCTTTCGGAAGGTGCCGTGAAACTGACCTATCGAACTTATGTGCACTCAACCGACTCGCCGTGAGGATTGGATGGAAATGGTGCACTAGGACGATGTCCAAAGTGTTTGTGACGGAAACGACGCCACGTCATCCGTGGAACCCGTGAATGAATCGGGGGACGTGGTGCGTTTGCCGCGGAGTTACAGTAGTACAGTTCATCGCACGCTGGCTCTCAAACCCGCCGGGCGGGCGGCATGAGAGCTGGTGATAGGGCATCATAGGACGAATAGGAGGGCGGCAGCAACGGCCAGCTTCGTTGTTTTCCACCAAGCTCTCACCAAGCTCTCACACACACCCATCAAGGACAAATTGTTGGTTCATTCAGGAATCAGGAACCCCCTACTGTAAAGTCCCTTGTATTCATCGCTTTCAATCTCTCAACACGCCGTCCTTCGAGGGATTCATCGAGCTGCACCTAGGATCTCCCACCCGCGGAAATTTGTCAGCGCACTGCTGGGGGTGGGGCGCGCAACACGACGCGAGGTGAAGTGATGAGGGGGAGCGAGGGGAATGAATGGACGCGGAGTTTTGAGCGAGGTGTGAGAACTGGAACAGCGATTGGTGGTGGGTGCGAGCAAATCTTCTGACAGCGATTTTACTGTATTCCGAAGATTCCGAACCGAATGAGCTCTGGGCCCTGTTCTGTTGCCGCACCACTTGATGCGGCGGCGGGCAGGACAGCACCGCATCACTTGGTGCGGAATCAGTCTTCCGCGAAGCAACAGACCCCTGGTAGGTGCAACGCAGCCTGCTGCCACCTTCCGCGCAACTGCAGGCGTTTCGTGTTTTTTGGGCCGAGTTGCACCAAAATACCCAGTCAAAATCAGCTTAGGGTAAAGACGAGCACCACCAAAACACAAACACAGGGTTAACCACGCACCCATAAACAGAGCCAAAATTACAGCGCCCTTAACTAGGTTTCGTAGTGGCGGCTGAAAGACATGCTGCGTATTGGCGAGTGAATCAAATTAGGGTTGGGGAGGGGGGTTGTTGGAAAGCGGGGGTATTAGTCTTTTACACACCGTGACTTTGGGGCATTCACTATCTCGGTCGGTAGGGGCTTGTAAATTTTATATCTGCTCCGCACCACTTGATGCGGTGCCTGGATCCCCCCTCAGACCCTGAACCAGGCCCGCACCACTTTCGCACCCATTTTGCCTGGGAGTGGGGGATTGTGAGTCAGTCGCTGGTTCACCGTTCTTTTGCCCAAAGCAGGGCGGACTGCACTGCGCTGCATTCACTAGGTTCGGGAAGGGGTTCAGTTTCCCGAGCCTGGAATCGAGGAATACACCCTCAAAATCGAGGCTTCCAGGATCTCCGGTAGAAGGCCGGAAGAAGCGTCAAAAGATGCGGTGCGGAGGGGGCCGCACCAAGTGGTGCGGCAACAGAACAGGGCCCTGGAATCACATCACAACCGTACAGCTCAGGACGAATTTCAGACTGTTACAAACAAACCACTTCGTAACAAGCGACGCCTTTGCGATTTTCTGCTACTTCTGGCGATTTGTGACGACCAAAACTTCGTAACAGCTTCTTGCTAAAAGCTGGCCGAATTAAGAACGCTGGCGATCATGATTCTCCGGTCGCGCACTGTCTACCTGACAGCAGGCGACCTGGTTTCGTCACCCTCTAGCTGGTGAAATAATTTTGACGGGCTGTTTGATGTTCAAGGCACTTTCGTTCGAAGCCAAGAGGCTGGCCTGTTTGTGAAGCTGTTTCCAATTATATGTTGGAACTTTCCCTCATAATATATTTGGGCAGCACCAACAAAAAGATGGCTCGTGAAGCCGTCAGCTTATGGACCTGGTAGGCCTTCGCAGACAGTGAATCGACGAGTCATATTACTGGCTGCGACCCAACTCTGTACATGTGCGAATTTCTTGATCGTGCTGAAACTTTCAGCCTCGTAACAACTTGGGCCCTGTGCGACGACCAACTTGTTCGGAAGTCACTTGTTACGAGGCCTGAAATGCGCCCTCATCGCGCTGATAAGCCGTGTTCCCTTAAAGGACACTTCAAGAAAGTCTGATTTTGAAATAACCGAGTGCTAGTCCAAACCATTCTAACAACTCCTCTAAGTCATTTACATATCCTCCCAAAAGATGGGATGTGTAAGGAAGTTTTTTGCATTCCTTATTGCGCAGCTCAAGATCACGTACAGGACGAATGTTCGCATTTTTTTTATCATGGGCCCTGGGTGCGGAAGATGTTTAATATTTAGGGTACGTTCTTTTCTTGGCCAGTGTCAAGCTTTGGGCCAAGTTTACTTGGTGTCCGGCTACCCAGGGAGGTCTGACAAGAAAAAATGATTTTTCCCCATGCCTATCTATTCCACCTCGTGTCAAGCAGCCTGGCCCGAAGTTTGACACTGGCCAAGAACGTTACCTGAGACTATCAAATTCTAGATTTATATGTTTTTTTAAGTGGGCAGATCCCTAAAATGTATTACTGCTATACCTACATTGTTAGCGGAACTTCATAAGAGGTGAGATTTGAAACAAGGGAATACGAACTACCTGAACAAAGCAGCCATATTCTGGTCGTCTACTTTGTTCGCAAAGATATTGTCTGTTGAATTACCGTATATTGCATATGCCTACAGCTTGCTAATGTATTAGGTTAGTTATTAGAACCAACTGCTGGTGGTGTACCCTTTACCTTTTCCCTTTCTTGTCGTTCCTATTTGTACTCCCAACTCCATATTGAAACCCCTCCTTTGGCCAATCTCCCCTCTCGATACCATCGCCATGCTCTCCTTAGCTCCAAAGCTCATAATCTCCTAAGTTCAAAGTTGTCAAAGTATAAATCTCTTGTATGTTTGTAGGCTGTAGTGGGGTAGCCAACATGGGGTACAACCCCAACTAGGGTTTCCTATTTGTACCCTTGCTTCTTTCAATCACATCATTCCTGCCTAGTGATTCTAACATGGTATTCAGAGCAGGAGGTCCCTAGGACCTCATGACCGATTTTTTTAGGGCCCACCACCTACTGCCTGCGGTTACCATGCTACCCCACGCTCTGCCTGATCCCGCTTTACGTGCCTGTCGCACTGCCCTGCAGCCCCGCGCGCGCCTTGCCCTTGCCCGCCGCGCTGCCCTGCAGCCCTGCGCGCCGCCCGTCGCACTTCCTTGCAGCCCCGCGCGCGCTCTGCCCTTGCCCGTCGCGCTGCCCCGTAGCCCCGCGCGCCGCCCGTCCTGCTGACCTGCAGCCCCGCGAGCGCCCTGCCCGCCCGTCGCGCTGCCCTGCAGCCCCACGCGCCGCCCGTCCCGCTGACCCACGGCCCCGCGCACGCCCTGCCAGCCCGTCGCGCGGCCCCGCAGCTTCGCACGCCGCCCGTCCCGCCGCCCTGCCCTGCAACCAACGCGGCCCCGCCCTACAACCGACGCGGCCCCGCCCTGCCACCGTCGCGGCCCCGCTCTCCCACCGCCGCCGCCCCACCCTGCCACTGTTGCGGCCCCGACATGCAGCCGCCTGGCCCCGCCCTGCCGCTGACGCCGCGCCGCCCTACAGCCGACGCGGCCCTACTCTGCAGCCGCTTTTGCGGCCCCGCTACCCGTCACTGGTGAGCACCTGCCTGCCGGCCTGCCGGCCTGTCGTCTTGCCTACCTGCCTGCCTGCCGACCTTCCGGCCTGCCTGCCTGCCTGCCTGCCTACCGGCCTGCCTGCCTGCCTGCCTGCCTGCCTGCCTGCCTGTCTGCCTGCCGGCCTGCCTGCCTGCCTGCCTGCCGGCCTGCCGGCCTGCCTGCCTGCCGGCCTGCCTGCCTACCGGCCTACCTACCTGCCTGCCTGCCGCACCTACCCTGCCCGCGCTGCTACTACTGCTGGCGGTTGTGCGATGCAGCCCCAGCGACTTTCGCGCGAGTCTCTCACACCCCAGCAGCTTCGTGAGTGGTACACTAGTTGGGGTTGTGGCGGTAGCCGTCGTGGCTGTCGCCCTGGAGCTGGTCAGTCGGGAGCGTCTGGCAGTGGCCAGCTGCAGCTGCAGCGGCGTCCGCGCGAGACACTTACGCCCCAGCAGCTCGAGGAGTGGTACGCTCAGAGTAGAGGGTCTCGGAGTACCGCTCGCTGCCAGTACGTCATTCGCACAGGTGCTCGGACTGGTCAGGCCTGCGGGACCCTTGGTCACACACAGTCCCGCTGTTTCGCCCGAATGAGCGACGCCTGGCGTACCGAGTTTGGCGACGCGGCTGAGCTCCCCACCTGGCTGGAGCTGCTTAGGCAGAGAGTAGATATCTTTGCTCTAGACTATGATGCTATTCTCACTGCCATGTATGCGTTGTCTGCTAGTGCTGACGGTGCCTGTTACCTGTGCGTACCGCCTGACCCAGGTATAGAGCCTGCTGCTCTCGGTGCTGGTGAGGCTGCTGCTCTAGGTGCTGGTGAGGCTGCTGCTCCGGTTGCTTGTGCGTCTCCTGCCCTAGGTGCTGGTGAGTCTGCTCTCTCTGGTACTGCGCCTGCTGAGGCCTTGTACACCTTCACGCTTGACTCCGGTGCTTCCCGCTCCTTCTTTCGCAACTGCACTACACTCACGCCGCTCAGTCGGCCTGTTGCGGTCTCCCTGGCGGACCCCTCTGGGGGTCCTGTCCTTGCCCACTACTCCACGGTTCTGCCGTGTCCGGCCGCCCCGTCTGGCTCGCTGTCCGGTCTCTACCTCCCCTCGTTCTCTACGAACTTGGTGAGTGGAGCTGACCTCCAGGATGGCGGGGTTGACCAGTTCACTCCTGCGAGTCAGCGAGTGACCCACTGTACGTGTGCTCGGACGGGCCGACACCTGGCCACGTTTTCCCGTGCGCCTGGCTCGAGTCTGTACACCCTGACCACTGCGTCTCCTCAGGTAGTTGCGTCTGCGTCTGCGTCAGGTCAGCTAGCGCCCCCCTGCTCGTGTCGCGCTTTGTCGCACCAGACCCTCCTTTGGCACCACCGCCTTGGTCACCCCTCGGTGCAGCGCCTTCGCAGCATGCACCGCAGTGTCCTTGTCTCTGGTCTTCCTAGGGTTCTCCCTCCCCTCCCACCCTCGCCCGCTCCTCCCTGTCTTCCCTGTGTCGAGGGGCGGCAGCGCGCCGCTCCTCACTCCTCCTCGTTCCCTCCCACAGAGGCTCCCCTGCAGACTCTCCACCTGGACGTGTGGGGCCCGGCCCGCGTCCAGGGACAGGGCCGCGAGCGGTACTTCCTGCTGGTCGTCGACGACTACACGCGCTACACCACGGTCTTCCCCT